CATTATCATTGTTCTTATCGTTCCTTTTAGCTTATGAATGCCAAGGGATTGTTACTACTCTATAAAAGAGATGTTTATTCTGTGCCAGATATCTAATGTGTTTCCATATCAAATACTTACAAAGTACAAATTTACATCCATAGTATTTCAAGTACAAAGATTGACAATCAATACAAAAATACACTTTTGTTTTTTGCTGCTTATACCATATGATAGACTTGTTTTAAAGATGTTATGGAATATGACTTTCATTTGATTTGACAGATTTAGCCTACATTTATTTTATTTTGTAGCAGCTAGGTGATACAGAACGAAACCATTGATTTCACTACTTGCAAGATTACTACCACTATATAAAATAAGGGTCTCTATAAATCTGGTGGATGCAGTTCAGCGATAATAATTATTTTTGACTGATACTCAAACTGAATATCATGTAACATAATATGTATGCATGGTTCTAGTGTAGATCTGACTTCATTTTTTGTTTCTTCATTTTTTGATAAAAGTGAATCTCAAGTTGAGAACGCCATTTCGCATTGTTGTAACATATCCGTCCATTAAAGGTATTTTTTATAAATGGTTGATTGTAGTGATACATACATATTTTGTAACTTGTATTGATGATATACCTTTTTAATAATAATATTTTTTTGTATAATGTACATACTTGTTAAGAATTCTGTATAAAATACTATTGCAAAAACATGTATTTTTTTTACATGCTACCTGATTGTTTTTGAGAACTCTCATACACATAAAAAATATTGCATTCAGGGTCACTCATTCTCTTCAATGGCTTTGGAGATATTTATATGTATGAATCGGACTTCTGTATTTTGCAAACTATGGGATATACTTTTTCCATTTAATCTTCCGAGAACAATATTAATTTACGAAGAACCAGTGAGTTAAAGTATGCAAATATTGAACTGCAAAAAATGCATTTCATGCATATATTTATACCGATTTCCAAGAATGATATCTTATCATGGACAAGTCCTAAGCTAATGTGATTCTAGAATAAAAATCCCAAAACAACTGGAATACATTTATTTAAACTCATAAATCGTACAATGTACAGTGGTGGGGCGTATTTCCTTCCGTTTTTTTTGGTAAAAGTAAAAATAACTGGAATACATTGGTTAAAATCTATTTAAATAATTTTACACATATATTCACTTATAGATTATGCGACTATTTTAAAAATATTTCAAGTAGGTATAAATAAAGTAATATGGAGCATATAACTAACAAATGTAACATGCTTAACATAACATATAATATAGCAAATAGTTATTTATTTTGGTCCTTTAAATAAACATTGTACTTTAATACTTATATTGATAATCAGTAATTCACCTAATATATTCTGTCTCTACATAACATGGATTATAGTTTTGAACATACAATGCTTCAAACAATTAAAGCTAACGAAATTCAATATCGAATTAATTTGTTTTCCTTTACAAAAGGACTTATAGTGAATGGTCGAGAGTGGGTCAAACGATATAATAAATAAGTTTTTTGTCACCATTATGATCTTCAACGGTTGGTGTTAGAATTCATCCACTATCAATCCAAATATACTGAAAACTGATATTAAAAAAATCTCAAACTTCATTACATAGCACGCACACAGAGTATTTGATTATCAAGGTAATCTTGCCTAAAGTTTATTTACATATTGATCCACTGGTTAATTTGGCGGAGCAGTATTCGAAAACGCTTTGATAGCTCATAATTATTCATGAGTATCATACACCTTGTTTTGGAATTCCGAGCGGATCAGAACATATCTATGAATATTATTCATCGTAGTTGTCCAAGTGATTCAGATGAAATGATAAAAAATGTAATAAAAATCATTCCATCTTGAACAATTATTTGGAACAACTGATGTGAACGTCGTATAAAAGTCTAAAAAGTTGACCTAGCGGTGAAATCAGCCTTTTTAGAAAACAACAATGTTGGGTTCTTGGTGAATACATAGGCCTTCACTTTTATGAAAGTAGTTCACCAATTTCTTCTAAAATGGCCTCTCAAAAAAAAAAAACAGTTAGAGATTAACTTCTTGAATTACGTGAAAAGGACTGTCCGGTTTTTTATTTTTCTTATGGTATTTGTTGAACTTACATACACCATAAATGTTTTGATTTGTGGTCATATTTGACTAGATAGAAATTATCATACCATTCCTGGATCTCACACAATTTTTATTTCCATCCATTACAAATACAATAAAACAAACTTTCACAATCGAAGGGAATTTTCTAAGAAAGTCAAATTACTTTTGTAATCCTCTATTGCTTTGTTTGTCTTCTTCCATCTAGCACGGTTGTTTGTGGACCAGGGCGAAAGTAAAACTAGTTTCATAAACACGAAGGATCTGTAGATAACAGATGTGGATACAATTATTGGCCTATATGTTTCTACTCATGACACCTAGCTAGATATATACCTACAAAAACATAACCTTATGATTTATTTATTTATTTTATTTATTTATTTAGATTCAATACACTGCCTGAACGGAACACTCCATTGAACAGGCAGGAAGTACAGCATGCTCAGCCGACAGTTAGAAAATACCTTCGAAAGCTGTCTTTACTGTAGTGAAAGATATCAAGTGCACGTTCACTTTCACAAATGCCACACATAACATAGAGTGGTGAAAACAACAATAAGTTTGTTCTAGGAACAGGTAAATAGAATAAACTGTTGCTACCATGACGAGTACGCAAATTAGGTATGTGTAAATAAATTTTCTCTAAGAGTGAAGGACAATCAATGCTGCCATCGAGCAATTTACACAAAAAGGTAGCAGCGAATAAATGTCTGCGCTTCGTTAAATTTGGCAGATTGAATCTGCTTAATAATATGTCATTACGAAAGCCCCTTTCAGGATAAACTCTATCTTCTTTATACCACAAATACTTCACGAAACGTCGCTGAACTCTCTCAAGATTATGGGAATGTACATCGTAAGCTGGGTACCAAATAATAGAACAATATTCGAGAATAGATCTAACAAAAGCATAATATAGTAAGATTAAAGTTTTAGGATTATGAAATTGTCTGCTGTTTCTGATAACAAAACCAAGATTTTTGTACGCTTTTGCTACAATAGTATTTATCTGCTCGATAAATGTCATTCTGGGGTCAAACAAAACACCTAAATCTTTGAACGAAAAAACTCTCAGGAGCGAGCTGTTTCCAATCTCAAAGACAGATTCTATCGGTTCCAACTTGCGTGTTAGCGTCATAGTGCAACATTTATCAACATTCAAATACATATTATTAACTTCACACCACTGATGTACAAGGTTCAGATCTGCTTGCAATGCTAAACTATCATCTAAGGTATTAACACATCTAAAAATCTTGAGGTCGTCAGCATACAGCAAATACTCACACCGCAAGTCACTTACTATGTCGTTAATGAATATAAGAAATAACAAAGGGCCAAGGACTGAACCCTGGGGTACGCCTGACGTAGCCAACACCGGATATGATTTGTAACCACGATAATCTACACGTAAATGTCTGTTATTAATGTATGACTGGAAAAAATCAAGAAATCTAGACGTTAAACCAATTTTTGACAACTTCTGTATCAAAATACCGTGATCTAAACGGTCGAAAGCTTTTGAAAAATCGGTATAGACTACATCAACCTGCCCTCCTTTGTCCAAAACTTCCGCAGCGTATTGCTTGAAACATGCTAAATTACTACATGTTGATCTACCTTTATAAAAACCATGTTGACCAGTACAGATGGTACGACTTACATGAGAAAACACGACCTCAAAAAGTACAAACTCAAAAACTTTCGCCAAATTGCTCAAGATAACAATCGCTCTATAGTTCTCAATATGTGACCTATCGCCTTTCTTAAAAACTGGAGTAATTTTCGACATTTTCCATTTGTCAGGAAAGGTTGCAGTTTTTAAAGACAAATTAAAAAGGTATGCTAAGGGCTGAGCAAGTACCGAAGCACAATCCTTAAGAAAGAAAGACGGTATGGAATCTGGACCTGTGGAGCATTTAGGTTTCAACTTATTCAGAGCATTTCGTACATGCTTCTCATGAACTGTTATAATAGATAGGCAAGAACTATCGTTCACTGAGGCAGAGTCAGATAAATATTCCGAGGAGGAAATATAAGTAGATTGGAAATATGCTGCAAAGGCGTTCACTATTTGCTCAGGATTTTTCAACTCAGTATTTTCAGAAAACATGTTGCTAGGAATATTGGCGAAATTTTTGCGATGATTTACGAAGGACCAAAAGTTATTAGGGTTGTGAGCCAAAGCGCGCTCGGTTCTTTCAACAAAATTTGAATAAGCCATGTCAATATCGATTTTTATTGTTCTTCGTAAACTGCTAAATAATTCATAATCTGACAAATTACTTGTTCGCTTGTATCGTTTCCAGAGACGATGCTTTTTTCCGATTTTTGAGATAATAGAGCGAGAAAACCATGGAGGATATTTGTTATCTTTCGGCAATGTGTAAGGAACATGTCTATCAAATGCAACATACAATCGTTTATAAAAAAGATCGCAGGCAATATTAATATCCGTAATATGTAACGGGAGAGTTAAATCTAAATTCATGATGCTATTATAAAGGGCCGGGATATTTGCTTTTTAAAATTATACTGCGGAATACTGTTTGTATGGAAATTTTTCATGCGACAGGGAAAAGACACACGTACTTCTAGAGGAGGATGATAGGCATCGATAGGCAGTAAAATATCGGATGCAGCACTCACCTGTGCAAAATTATTACAATACACTAAGTCCAGGATGCGATCATATGCATTACGTATATGATTGTATTGAACTAAATTGAAGAAGTGGCTCATATTTTGACAACCGAAATGTAATTGTTATAGTAAGTACTATCAATGAGGTAATTTATATATGTAGGGATATTGAAATCCCCCAGAAAAAGAATAGTATCATTAAGCTTGAAACAATCTAATGTAAGGATGTCTTCAAAAAAAGTTTCATAAGTCTCCACAGTAAGATTTGGAGGAATATAAACAAGGAGGATGATAGTGAATAATGAAGAAGTAGTGACATTTAGTGATTACATTTCCTATTATAAAATACAACTACAATTAGTTTGGCATAGCGATCAAGTCACAATAGGTTTTCGTTGTAGAATCGAATTGTGTTTCGTTTGCGTTTATCCATGCATTTATCACATTGGTCATTGTTATGGGTTATGAGATATAATGCTTTATGTTCGATTCTACTCGCTGCATAAATATGCTACTTTGATTATTAGCTTTTTCTTTAGGCCTTTGATGTATACATTTGATACTTGCAATATTGTACACCATGTTTTTAGAATGCGGATGTAATGTATGATGCATTTTGCCTTAAATTCGATGTTTCACAAAATCACTTTCGATTTAGAAATGTTTCTAGCCCTTCTGCGGAATTCAAAGCTTCAATGATGTGTAGTGTCATTTTTGAGAACAATTAAAACTGATACGGCTGGTGGATTTCAGATAATTAAGAAGGCTGTTAAGAGTCAATACCTATATATTGTTTTATTATTGCAATTTTTTTACCGCCTTCTACGTAGCAGAAATTGACACACATGCCTGGATTAATTTCAACAAAATTTGTGCACGTCTTTGAAACTCCTGGATAGTTAGGAGTAAGGTACATGCACATTATCGACATAGCTCAGGTGAGATGTACAGGGTGTCTCGCTATGAATTGTCCAGATCTAACTTTTTTCTATGATCGTTAAGAAAAAATAGTTCTATGCAAAAGTTATTTAGTCTGAGATGAAGTCTTTCACACATCTTGTTTTTGTCTAAGAAAGGTGCCACCTAGTAAAGTTGTATTTTTGCAAAATAGACACCTTATTTACTGATTACAAATATATATTCATCCTTCTTATTCTCACTAGTTTTAACAAAAGCTAAAATTGTGTGTGCTATTTATTCATGTGTAACCGAGCTCAAACTAGCTAGGTACAGATTTAGCCGTCTACGCAGTATAAGAAACCATACATATTTGGAATCAGAAAGAAAGCGACCATAATTTTCACTAAAAATATACATGGTGTCACGTTTAAAAAACACAATCTTATTTGATAGCATTTTTCAGAGTCAAAAAAGCATTGCACACACAGGTTTATAATAGATCCCATTACTTTTCAGTACAATTTTTTTCTAAACTATCATTTAAAAAAGGCACAAGGAGTGGGCAATTTATGGCCGGATAAGCTGTACATACTTTTCAATGCTGAAATTAAATTATTTTTCAAAAATCATGGGAATGTTGATCATATAACAAAGGTAGTGAGATAGATTTTCGAAAAGTGTGGTATAGACCCAAAGTTTCAAGAAGCATAGTCAATAGCTTTGTGATGTGAACAAAAGGATGGCAACAGTTCGCCATAAATATGAACGGTCATGCTACATCATGGCACTGTGTGTAGGCCGACGTTATTTATCTCTTTATTCGTTATTCTTTGCGTATGACATGGTACATGGCACCTAGTAAAAGTCTAAAATACAAATCGTAGCATACAACTTAATCAAATTATAGGTGATATTTCATGACTTTTCCAAAATCCAACCACTATATCCTGATCGTGTTAGCCTAAAGAGCAACGTCCATGATCGATCTAGAATCGCTCCTGTCCTTCTTCCACCGTGACTTCATTGACATTTGGCGCGTCTCCATTGCTGGGAGGCGCCTGCTGGGTTTCCGAGGCTCTTGGGGCGCCATTGGGCGCCTGCTCCTATAAATTTGAGGGACGATATCAAAGAAATGTAAGCTTTTAGAGGAATAGCCACTAAGGTCATGTGAATATGCAAAATCAGGTCGCGCGGACCTAATTGTGGTTGTTTGGCCATGATATTTAAAAATGGCCGCTATGTACGGTTGTTCAACATGTCCGCGTAATAAATGGGCCAATTTTAACTTTCCTAAGCTCATTCTACTCATTTTTTAAAGAACATACATATTTCATGATTATACTTTTTTGAATAATAGATGTACCAAGGATTTAAATTTTTTCAGTTTGCGCAGGTATTCATTAAATAACTAAATGAAAAATTTGCTATCCCCGCTCTTCAAAAAGGCAGGTCCATTTTCACAAAACGTTTTCTCTCGTCGATGAATGTCCCCCTTCGCCCCTGAGAAACATTCCTGCGGGCGTACATGAACGTATTGCTATGACTATGTTCCGATCCAAGGCAGCACGGCAGCCATTACTGACCGACCCATTTTCCTGATCGCGACGCACGTATTGTATCTAAAGAAGCGCCTGCTGGAGATATTTCTCCATCATTCAGTTTTAAGGGCAAAAGTGTACGGAAAAATCTTTGATGTTTGAAACATGTCTAATAGGTGCGAAGAATCACCGGGGTTGGAATCATATGAATATATTAACATACAAAATTGAGGTATACCCTCCCCGCCCTCCTAAAACCTCTAGCCCTCAATTTTTAACCCATAAAAAAAATTCTGAAAATGATCTGGAGTCTCTGAAACGTCAAAAACGTAGTTTGAGCGATTTTTATTTTTCATCTTTCTGCTGCCGCCACTGGACATATTTTAAAAAAACTACAAAGCTTTTTTGCGTAGTAGTAACCTCCAAATTCGAGCAGTACTGTACAAGTCATAGGCGGTTCAAGGATTAGAAGACCGACGCATAGCAGCAGCTTTCCTTTTGCATCCGACTGATTCACCATTCGGGAGGAAAGTTATTCTTCTCGGATGTCAAAAGGAACGTTCAGGTGAGAAGTCCATCTTACAAGAACACAATTTAGAAGTCAGGTTTCAATGGTATATGATTTTTTTTATTATCGTTGCAATTATAAAAAAGTTCAACTAGTGCTTGTAGAATCTTGAACCAAAAAATATATACCTAAACGTAACCAAAAAATAATCCTCTCCAATCAAGTCAGTGAAAAAGCTCACTAAAGCATGTGCCGGGAAGCACACGATCCAGGACGAGGGGAAAGTTAAGAATCTCACCTAACTTGAAGCGAGATAAGATGATTTGAAAGAATGGCCAAAAGGAAAGCTACTGTCATTTTCGACTACAACACTTAGTCGCCCGTGGCGTGGGAAGTAAAATAATGTCGTCCTTACCTACAAACGTTCGTTGGCCAGCACCTTGGCGCTATCTCCGGATAGTGATGGGCTGCGGACAGCGTAGATTATCAAGATGGCTAATGCTACGAAGGTCATGCCCAATGAATTCACTATAATCCCCTCGTCCTTCCATTCGGTGTACGTGTCTCTGCAATTTGGTGGTTACAAATGGGGTATGATACTATTTTGCTCAGGTTATTGAAGGTAAGAATTTAGCTTATAATGCATATGAGATTAGTTGAAATTCTGCATGCATTTTATTGGATTATAGGGCATACAGTGGAAGCCTTCCTAGTTCGGTCTTGTATAAAAAAATATTACGCAAAATTGTAGAAATAATGCTTTAAGATGCTGTTGGTACATCTTAGAGAAAGAGCGAAATAGCTATTCGTGTGATGTAGTACCAAAAAAAAAAAAAAAAAAAAAACGAAGGAGAAGAACGAAAGCATTGAACGCCACTCTGAAAGCAGTGCGTCTTTTAGTACATGTGTTTTACCTTTTCTTATTTTATTAGTATCCTGATGTTTTACAGCCCGATTTTCTTTTGTGTTGTTGTTAAGAACGAGTTAGTCCAGAATTCTATAACCACAATTCAACCCAGCATTTGTACTTGTTAGCGAAAGTTTGACATATGATGTTCTGCATTTTGCTATACTTACTTGTCAAGTTGCCATGACACGTAACATAGTATTTAGGACGAGTAGACACACGATATTAGTAGTAATTACAAGGTACAATAGCAAAGAAACGTTTTCAAAATTATTAGTGAAAGGCGTTATTTAGTCTGTACTGGCGCATTTATTACATGCAAACCTCATCAAGCATGGTGCTTACTGGTTTCAATGCAGTATATTGCAATAAATAATGATTACTTTTAATCAATAGTTCCTTGTTGCATTTTATACACCCTCCTGGGTACAAGTACCTTCAAAGTTTGTTACTTTTTTGAGATTGCAGTTTATAAAATGTCATTATTAGGTATCCGAAGTTGTTACATAAATTATGTTATCAACGGTCATTTTTATAAAGTGTCTGCTATATTTAAGGGATACTCTTCTTATTTCGGTACTTGTAGCCGTAAATTACTTTTAAATACAACAAAGGAACCACGTTTTGAATTCTAGCTATTTAAAAAGCAGCAGTCAAAGTAAATAAGCCAATAAAAATACTACGTGCAAAGTTTTCATCAATATATACTTCTAAAATATACATACATTCACATAGATCTTGTAATATCTAGGTACTATGAACGTACACGGTACATTCACACTTATTTTAAAAATACATATAAAACTACTATCTATAACACATTACAAAACACTAGAAGTCTCTAAACACAAAAATATTCTTGGAAAAAGAAAACAATCGCACAAAAATCACAAGTAGATCGTAAGGTTCTTTTTATTACTGTGTCTGGGTTCGGTAGTTTTGACGTCTCAGGTCTTATGCTAAATATAAAAATTTACTACAGCTGAAACCAGAACTGATTCTAGCAAAAATGGCTAATTAGTTTTTTACTGATCTCGTAGTATGTAAGAACGTGGAAATGAAATCAAAAGTGCACTTAAAACTATAATAAAGCTTAAAGCTGTTCCAGCAAAAAGAGTAATGGTTCATTCACATGCCTTACATGAGTAGTATATCATTCATGCAATATTTTTGAATGACTGAAAAAGAAAGTCGTACAGGTTATTAAAAAGGGTTTTTCTTTATATTTAAAGGAGAAATCATCATGTCGTGCTCTCGATACATGTGACTTTGAATTGATTTTATGAACTCAGTATCAGAACTATGAAATATATTAAATAGCTAAAAGCAAAACAATTCGTTTAGCAGAACTTTACATGATTAAGATTGGTTTATTTTAAATCAACTTTTCACCTTGTTTGACCGGCCAAAATTGGCAAGCTTTTGATTTTCAATATTGCGAAATGCGGCACAGCAATATATTCATTATAGTGATTGGACCTTTTATAGTAAATATATACCCAATTAAGTAAGCAAGATTTTCCTAAGCATGGAACATTTTTTGAAACGTACTCTTTTATAAATCTAGTAAAAAATACACATTGCTTATCTAATATTTGTTCATAATGTAAGTGCTAATTCACAAAATGTTTTGATTCCATCATACCGTTTGCCTGGAATACGTGAATTAGTGATTCCATCCATGATTCCATCCACACATCATAAAATAACATTATTTCAAAGCGTGCTTTATTTTTCCAAACACATATATAATCTCTATTCTAGAACAAGCACACACACAGGTATGTGTATTAATTTTATACATCTCAAAGATTGGCAGAGTGTGAGGCCTACAACTACGTATAAGCCGAAAATGCCTTTAAATTGTGACGAAACGAGTCGAGCTATTCCATATAGTTAAAGTAACGTTCATAAAATAGAGATCAAATATTACGTATTTTGATTAATCAAAGGCGATGTTGTTATATATATATATATATATATATATGGTTTTCATTTTTATAATGTATATCTTTACATTCATCTAAGATAATTATACGCTATTTCACGAGTTCCATCACGCTTTGACGTCTGCTTTGGTGAACAGCTGATAAGCAAGTGACAGTTTTGTATTAGTCTGGAACGTTGGCTATCGTGATTCGGGTGTAAATCTAGCAAAAATTTGTTTGTAGCGTTGTTTTTTGTATGCAAATGAACTTTTCTAAATGAATCTGTAGCATACAAAAAACCAAAACAAAATATGGCTCTGTCTACCTGGCACTGACGGATCCGTCAGAATTATGTGTCCTTTGCTGATATGGGGAATTTTGAAATATTACTGGATAACAAGCTGTCAATTCTACCGTGATGGATACTCGTGAAATTGGGTATATATAACTCTAGTTAACCTAAGCCAATGCAATAATATCAGTATCATACAACATTGAATTGGTCGTATCGTTTCAACACAATACGTTTTTTTTTTGTTACGAGTTCACATTCCTCTGGAAGTCTGAGCATCTGTTGACAGTTACTACTGATAAAAATATTGGGAAAATCAAAATTAACGTGTAAAGTCGTTTTTGCAAATGAAGTGTTACAGTTAATAAAATGAATAAGGTCCATATCAAAGTGGCTGTATTTTTTAAACTTCTGGTTTTATTTAAATAAAAAAAATGCTTTGGTTACCCATGTGATGTCTTAATCAGAAGTGTTTTATACATACCTATATATATATAGATATATTCTGGTGTTTGACTAATGATTTACGGAATTTTATTAATTGAAACGGACTTTTGTCAAGAATCAAAATTAGACTATTTAATCTTGAGGTTTGAGGTCACCCTATACAATTTTAAGCATTTATATATATTACAGCAAATTACTTCCAAAAATAAGATGTTGCCTACTCAAACTACATTACGAAGCAGGCTTCCAGTGAAAACTGAACCTCAACTATTCCGCAGGTTTATTTTATAACACCATGATAGCTGTCAAGCGCTTAAAAATTGTTTTTTTGTTGTAGGTGTTTTCTGATACACTATTTATATAAGTCGTTACGTAATAACCCTACGTATCCGATTGCCAACCCGCACATACGACGAAGACGGAAGAGATTATACACGGGTACCAAAATGGGAGAAAGTAGCAGAACACATCGTACGTCACTGCTACCGTCGCGTGCCTCTGTATCCGCAAAGTCAGTGATTCCGCCATAGCGTTAGCAGTGGTGTACGATGTGTTACTCTACCCTCTTCCGTTTCGGTAGCTGTAATGCATCGGTACGTCATTGCTAACGTGGTGTCTCGAGGTACGGCGTGTTGGGCACCCACGTACACAGTCAGACTGCGTTAGCAGTGGCGTACAAGTTATGCTACTCTCTTCCATTATGGTACTTGTTCGTGTTTCACTGTTGACTGTTCATATAATATATCATATAATATATATCTTAAATATCTCCGGTACGAATGAGGATATGCGCCCTGTACCGGAACTCGTCCCTTTGCAGGATGTATCCTACAACGATCGCCAGCGCCACCAGTGTGCAACCTATCGTGTTTACAATGATTGCCTCGTCGTTCATCTGCGAGTAGCGTGCTCTGTGTGGATGAGATCGATATTAGCGATTGGCGGGTGTCGATGAGAGTGACAGCAGTGTGGTTGATGAAACATTCAGTTATAGTCAAGTACCAAAATGGAAGGAAGTAGCGCTGAGATCTACGGATACAAAGACACCGTTATGGAGGGTTACGATGAGTTGTGCGATTGTCTTCCATTTTAGTACTTGACAGTAAGTGGTTTGCACTGGGAGAAAAAGGACTGAAATGATCTTTTTATATATTTACTTAACCACAAGTCTAAATAACGCATAGAGCGATGTCTATGAAGGAGAACTACTAATACTTTTTTGTAACTGTAGGACCGCTCCAAAAAAACTTTTGTTGAACGACGAGATGCTTTTCTAGCCACTCTCAGGCAGAAAAGCTCCACAGTATTGCCCAGACGACCTTCCCGATCCACAGTGTTAGATTACATGCCTGGTAAAATTAGCAGCTGTGAGCCTTTTACAGGGGCATCAATTCTAGCTGTGTCTGGTAATCAACCCATCTACTACATTCGTTGTAATGAGTATACGCAGATCGCATACTGTTTGTTTGGTACCCTCTTCAGGTAGTTTGCAAAACAAACATGTCCTGTGAGAAACTGCGCATTACAGTAATCTATTCGCAGCGCTTCCTTATCAATCCAGGTTTTAGTATCTGGAATCAGGGTTCTAGTCCATCTCCTGTCATCTAATAGAAAGTGCCTTTCTTTCGCTGCCTCTGGCTTCGACGACCTTTTTATACAGCTCGATTTTCTCCTCAGACACAATTACCATTAGCGGGACAGTAACTATCTCACTAGCAATGCCTGCTGGATTCTAGGCACGAGCTGCACATATTTCTTGTTCTCCAAGCCTTGGTTGGCATAGATACAGCATAATCGTGTTTGCCACTCCCTTGCCAAAATACTAAGCTTCTCACTACTAAGACTGTATTTGCCATTTTCAGTAACTTAAGAATGAGACCTTAGCCATAACGGCTAAATTTTGATAAACGGAGATTAACAAGGTTCTAGTGTGAGAAGCAGCTTGACTCTCCATCTAGTAGGCTCAGAAACATCATAAAAAAAGAAGGGAGAAACGCCAGATCTTCATTAAATATTGATAGTAGTGCCTTTATGGTCTCCTTGATTTTGATAGCCTTCTCTCTCGTTTAGAAAGGCTGGGGTATTTCTAGATTTCTACAGGTCCGTGTCAGCGTCAGCTTGGCTAGGTTTTATTTTTGTACGACATTTCAGGTTGATATAAATCAAAAGCATGAACAATTTGATGCAAATACATGATATTTGTAATATAACCTCAAAACAGAGCGCTGACACGGAAGAGTAGAAAACTATGATAGATAGGGATAGAGCATCAGAGGGTAGTAGTCGTACTTGGGTTTTGTCATTACAAATTAAAGTATAATATTCGTTTGAAATAAACATGTTTACTTTCCGTCTTTGTAACCACGACCAATCACAGACAGCGCTGTTTCGTGCTCATCAGCAAGTCATCAATGCGGTATAGGTCTAGTAGTCCTGGAGACATAAACGGTTGGATGTGGTTACAGAGACGAAAAGCAAACACGTCCATTTCAATCGAACCAAGTCATAACCAGTGCAAACTGCTACTTTTTTTGCTGACATAATACGGGGGCGCCTCCAAAGTGAGCAGAGGGATTGAAAATTGGTAGATGACATATGGTTTAATCCTAATCATAAAGTGATGTTATGAGAATGAACTGAATCAAACATTTAATTGAGGTTCAAATACCGTCCAGAATTGTTGAGTTTCCCAGTGTTATGGCCTGTGGGAGCTTACTATTTGAACTACTCCGGTAACACCCCCGTATATGCTTATGAGTCTGGCAGTATGATAAATGGATGAAGGGGATTGTTTTTTATGTGGGTAAAATGAGGGGAAAAATGGTAAACAGGCTGAACAGTATGTTTGGAGGATGTAATATGTATTGGATGATTTGTGGTCTCGGATTCGACAGTTCTATATATAAGTTTGTATTTCCTTAAACTAGAAAAGCGATACTATCTGAAGCTGTCTATACATATAGAGCACAATCAAGCTGGCTTGCAAAATACACATTGAAACTAGCAGCAAATGCGCCCTAAACTTAGATCTACAGATGATTATGGCATAAAATCGTGTAGAAAGGCTCCTTGAACAAAACTTGATATCAGCGAAAGCGATTTATATGGATCCCGTGTGGAAAGAAAAATACGAAAAACCATAGCCAAACCTATGATGATGTTGAAAAGATTTATTGCTTAAAATAGAACTTTACCTCAAATATATTTTTGATGCTTTTGAAATATATGTTTCCACTAGATATATTTTTTAAAGCAATTTTAAGAAGGCCTAATAAGAGCTCCAAGAATATTGGCGTATCTCGTGCACGAACCTAAATATGGGAATATGGTAAGGACAATTTTTGATACTTATTTATCGAGCCTCAAACATTTCTCAGTGCTTGCCTACGGTAGGATCCCGAACTTTTGGTCATGCTAAAGAGCAATATTTCAATAACCTCCAAATTTTCAACCATTAAAGAATTTGTGTTAGGTCAAAACCGTTCATTTACTTTATATCTGCTATCATGTATGATAGTAATTAATGTGACTGTGACCCACCAAAAACTGTTAAAAGACATATAGTGAGATGAGGCTGTCAAATCAGTCAGTGTGAGGCTAACTTTACCGTTAAAAAAAACAGCTGAGCTAAGTTTGATCAAGAAGTAACCTAGAAAATGACATTTTTATTTTATCAATCAAGGCTGAAGATTTTTTCAGATTGCTGACATTTATCGCCGGGGGATATAATTTTAAGCAAAGCAAACTCAAGTATACCTGAATTCGAGAGATTTTGCTCATACTCATAAACAAAATAAACTTAGGTAACTCAAAAGCTGCACAAGAGGACAAGTCTCGATGATGTTTGCAACGCCTTGCTTAAGTAAATCTTAATCTAAGTTGTACTTTATCCCGCAATTTCCTATTGCACCGCTATTATTTGTAACTTCAAGTGACGCTCAAATAATGTCAAAAAGATAAATCGGAGATTTATTGATTTATTGCACATATTCTGAAAATACAGCGAAATACTCTTTTGTTTTGATTTTCCGAAAAGTTTTGAAGGTTGTGAAGCAATTTGTAAGGAAATATCATGAAACTTTTTGAAGAATTAGATGAATTTAACCTCATTATAGTATATGGAATTCTGAGCAGAATGTATCAAAGAATGAACTATTTTCATAGTGTTGATGACAGAACATCCTTCCAACGATTTAAGACCAATAAAAACTGCTGTAATGATGTTACATCAGATAGAAGCAAACATCCCTATAACTGGCTAGTATCACGGTACAGAAGTTACAAACAGATGTTAATAAGGAACAATGCAGTAGACCAATTAATCAACTATTGGTTTTCTATTAATACAGATTTTTCTTGTAGGAAAAATTGGGGGCTTTTTGTAGCAGAACTCATGATGAAATATGCAAATCTGGATTTCTGACATGATGATATGACAGCATAAAAGTGGGGTTCTCATGATGCGCAGTGCTTATAGTTCAAAACTAGAAATCCTCAAAAATGGTTGCCAAATCAATACTACGCTTAGGTAAGCACCGTTCAAGATACGAGAGTGCAACACAAATTCAATCTAAAGTGTACCTTAAAGATAAGCTTCACTTTGCTAAGTGGTATATTTAAGAAAGTCGGTGCAAACGGCCATGTTGAGGCTGCTTTGCTGGTAATGCGCTTGGGGTAAGGAAGGAGAAAGAAATCTCATCCCATTTCAATTGAGTTTTGACAAAGAGAACTTGCAATCAACTAAGTAAACTGGAGTGAGGTGAGCGTATCTGAAATTGTGTGTAACGAACCTCTATTGCGGGTGGTCAGTGATCTGTTATGCGAAACGAAAGGTAATGCATACATTCTGCGGCATAGGCACGATGCAGGAAGTTTGTGAAAACCGTCGGACAGTGAAATAACCGCAGACAAAGGTACTGACATCAGGTTGTCAGTTCCCTTTCAGTCATTGATAACATTTTAGG